CTCAGGATTCACAGATTAAAAAGCAGGGTGTGTGTGTGTGTGTGTGTGTGTGTGTGTGTGTGTGTGTGTGTATACACTCCTGGCTGTGGTGGATATTTTTAACTTCTGGCTGCGAGGACGACAGAGCTTTCTCCTCGGCTGATTGTGTGTGGAGGCCCTGAGGGAGTGAGTGTGTGTGTGTGTGTGTGTGTGTGTGTGTGTGTTGTGTTGGCTCCTCCCACTGGACCACAAGCTATGTCGGGGTGATGGAGGCTGCTGCTTGGTCACTCTGCATCATCACCAAATCATTCGTCCTTCCCTCTTCTGCTGATGACTAAACACTCTGCTGGAATTATTAAGAAGCTTCTACATTTATGAATAAAACTTATTATTTGTGTATTTATGCATTTTTGTAAATCGTGAACCTTTGCAGGAATGTTTCATCTCATTTGTGTATCTCAGCTCGACCAGACTCTTATTCAAACCAGCTGATATTTCTAAGTAGGTTTGATAGAAAATGGGTCAAACTGAGCTTTCGCCGGTGAAAAACCAGGTTGCCCTGGTTACGGCTGGGTTGAACCGATAAATCATGCTGTTAAGTTTCAGCTGTAGTCGCTTCTCTCTGTTGTTTCGTGACCTCGGATCATTGTTACTCGGAGTCGGAGTCGCCGCTGCAGAGACTCTGACGGACAGATGTACGGAAGCTGAGAAAGAAAGAAATGTTTGTGATGTTCTCTGCTGATGAATTGATTAGTTCATTAGCAGAAAATGAATCAGCAGCTATTGTGATGATCAAGTCATCGGTTCAGTTTTCAAGAAAGATTCACTGATCAAGTGAATGGCTCATGATTTTCTGTTTCTTATAAAAACGCTTTGAGATAATCCTTTTGAATTTGGCTCAAATGTTCTCAGATGAACTGATTTGATTTCAGAGGTCAAAGGTCGCAGTGAGCTTTAAGAGTAAAATCAAAATAACTTATATTCTGATCCTTTGATTCTAAAGAGTAAAACACGACCTTGTTTCAAACGTCAGGAATCAAAATCCGCAGGAAACAGCTGCCGAACAACAATACCTCACCGACTGCAATCATCGGGCCTCGTTGCTCTTTTTTATTGTTCACCTGTGTTTTCGTCCTTGACACGAGTGGAAAGGAAGCTGAGGAAAGGAAGCTGAGGAAAGGAAACGACTGAGGGGGTGAAAAGGGAAAAGTAGTTACCTGGAGGAAAGTGTGAAGAATTGGTGTGAAGTGGAGAAGGAAAAGCTTTTCATTCAGAGGGGAAGAGAGTGGGGGGGGGAGGGCAGGAGAGAGAGCGACTGGGTTTATGGGAATATTGAGCCACAAAGCGTTTATGTCAGATCAAAGCTAATCCTTATCTTTGGGAAAAGGATTCAGTAAAACCCTGGGCTGTCTCGCCCCCTCAAGGGCAGGTATCTTCCTCCGCCTCCCTCTGCTCGTCTTCCTCTCTCCTCACTTTTGTTGAAACTCCAGGATTTTTTACGCACCCCCCCCCCCCCCCCCCCCTTGTCTCTGTGATTCTCTGCAGAGGATCAACCCCCGTGGCAGCGAGTGAACACAAGAACTTCAGAGTTCAGCTGGTTAACGAGGACTTTCCGCCGATGTACTTATCAACTGCATCGTGATTCTTATACAGTCAAACATCTGATGGAGGGATTATGTATCATGTGTCCCATCTGGTCTGGGAATAACTTAGGACCCCCCCCCCCCAGAACAAGGACACAGCGATGGACAAGGTCGTGTAGACCGCCATGTTGGCTGCAACACTTGAACAAGATACCGATCAGTCGGTGAAACGTTTTTTCTGAAAGGATTCAGATTTGATAAAATCCCACCTTGTCTCTGTGCCGATATTCACCACCACCCAAGGTCAGATGTGATCGTCCTCTCATGTCCAAATGAACCCAAAGAATTCCAGAAGGAATCAGCTGCTCTGAGCGTGCTTCGTGTGAACACGCCGCAATCTGTCATTGCCAAATCGGTTTCCCCCAGGGGGCGCCGCGAGCAGTTTAATTGCCTGCGATCTTGTTTTTGATAAGAGACTGAGATGCACGGAGCTGCAGGGAAATCAGCGCTCACCTTTTTCCTTTCCCATCACCATTTCCTCTGCACCTCTTCCCCCTCCATCTGTCTCACCTCTCACTCGAGCTGTCTGCCCACGGTCGTGCCCGGAGGGAGACCGGCTCCGTCGAGATTGGCAGCCGGGGGAAAAAGAAAAATCTAGTCGTCTTCCCTCCTCAGCAGTTTTCACACTTGACAATTTGGGCAAAAAAAATAAAATACAAAGTCGGCAGGGCCCCTGTTTGGTATTCATTGTTTCCTCGGTGCTATTTTGACAGGGTTTAATCATCTGTAAAGGCAAGCTATCACAGCTTCCGCATGGATTAACGTGGTAGACGTGATTATGCAAGAAGAGTAGGAGGAGGAGGAGGAGGAGGAATAATTTGTGTATGGAGTCTGTGGCCTGCAGGAGACGGTTTAAAGAATTAGCCATACTTAACAGATACCGAGGCGCGGGGTGTCGTGAACTCGCCCCCTGCTGCGGTGAGCCGCCGGCTGATGTGTACGATGTGCGCCGTGCATAATAATAACTCCGCATCGTCCATGATGCATTGTGGTAGTTTGACCCCTGCCTCATTCAGTGAGATCGATTGTCTGTGAAGTTCCAAAGCACCAACTTTATTGTGTTAAAGGGACGTTACAACAAGTTTTATCTCTTTAAACACTGGTGCAAGTACTTTTACTCAGCTGCTGTACAACTAACTTTTTCTACTTTATAATTTTACTACTAAAATTGTGGCTTCCAAAATGTGTGCGTCACAGGAACAAGTGTTATTTTATAATTGAGTTTCATTTCACTTTAATAAAAGTGAACCAACCTGAGGGCTGGAAGAATATTCAAGTTTTCTTTGATACAACTTTATTCTCATAATGACCTTTTTCTCTTCATATTATGGACGTAATCGTTTTTTCTTTTTTCTTCAACGTGGTTCTAATTCATCATCATATGAATTAAACTACCGGCAGAGGAAACTTAATCCTGCAAAATGACTTGTTTTACTTTTTTATGACTGAAACTGAACGTCTGTCACAGACGAGGCGCTCGGAGAGACTCAAAGCTGAAAAATGCTGTCGGAGAAAATTATTCTGTGATGAAGACTCTTCTTCTTGGATTAATGGAATTTAACATAAAACTGTTCCAGCAGGATTAGTGTAAAACTCTCAAGCGGACTTCATCTCATAATCAGGTCGGTCCTGTGTTTGGACCCGTGCTAACAAACCAAAGTGCAAGTCGGCACATAAACTTCCCATCAAACATGAAAATAGAAATAAAATAGAACCATATGTGATTAATAAAACTAAACGAACGATGTTCTCATCAGTGTTCTCTCCTCTGTTGTAGATGGACGACCCTGCGGACGCCACACGGCTGTGAACTTGTCGACGGCGGTCAAACGTCAAGCGTCAGCTGCACTTTTCCCGACTTCACGTGGAGCCGTGTGACTCTTCTCCCAGATCTGTTTGAGCGTGACTCAACGTTCTCTAAAACTATCTGTGGGTGAAGATAACGAGGAGCCAAAGTTTTCCAAAATGGAGACACTTTCCCAGGATTCCATTCTGGAGTGCCAGATCTGCTTTAACTACTACAGCCCCCGGCGGCGGCCCAAACTCCTGGATTGCCGACACACGTGCTGCTCGGTGTGTTTGACCCAGATGCGCAGCACCCAGAAGGAGATTCGTTGTCCTTGGTGTCGCGGCGTCACCAAGCTGCCACCGGGGCTGTCCGTCTCCCAGCTCCCAGACGACCCGGACATCATCACGGTCATAGCCATCCCTCATGCCTCGGAGCACACGCCCGTCTTCATCCGCCTCCCCAGCAACGGCTGTTACATGCTGCCCCTGCCTCTCGCCAAGGAGCGGGCGCTCGGCCTGCCGGGGGAGCTGGGCTGTCGCTTCCTGCCCGGCGGCCAACAGAAGGGGGTCACGGTGGTGACCATGCCGGAGCAGCAGCCTTTGGGCCTGGCTATGGGTCTCGAGGCTGTGGGGCTGGAGGGCGGCGACGTGGAGAGGAGAGTCACCGGCCCGGTGGGAGGAGCGGGGAAGGGCTCCACGTGGTCCGGCGTGTGCACGGTAATCCTGGTGGCCTGCGTGCTGCTCTTCCTCCTGGGCATCGTGCTGCACAACATGTCCTGCATCTCCAAACGTTTCACGGTCATCTCCTGCGGCTGAGGGCGGCGGGGGGAGGCCGCTCGGACTGTCGCAGGACCCCAAACACCCCCCTCACCCACCCTGGATTCCCCCACCGGCTGTGCGTCTCCTCAGGGCGGGAGACCGGAATAAACTCACTTCACGGGCGTCCGAGGAAACAACAGAGCGAAGCAGAGCGACTCAGATGAAGAGGAGGATCAGAGACAAAAGTGGAAATACACAAACAAACTTTTTTCCCCCGTGTTTCCATTTTGAAAGAACTCGAGGATTTCACTTCAAACATGGTCAGGTGACCGGCTTCTCTTCTAGGCGATTGGTTTTGTCGGACACAGTTGGATTGCCTGTTTAGTTCGTGGTCTGTAGAAGTACGTCAGTCGTCGTCGTGTTGTTTAGATGAGTGTAGGTTCTGAGCTGGTGCTGCAGAACAGAGAGTCCGGACTTGGCCGTTCTCCGCCAACCCCACCCCCCCTCACACCCCCTCCCCCGATGCTGCAGGAACAAACTGGGCGGGATCCACATTTGGCCCCAACTGATAAAAACTCTGAATCACTGAAAAGACAGAAAAACAAATCGACACAGCTTCTTACTTTCTCTGTTTGTTTCACACACACAAGCTGTTTCTGCTCAGAGCTGCGATGATTCCATGGACAGTTGGAAACGGGGACGTCAAAAAAATACAAGGGATTGTGGGTCGTAATGTTGGTTAGTGCCCACGTGTCATCAAAACACAGCTGACTGTTTGAAATATGTGATGTTGGTTGGTTGGAAAATGACCGATAACCTGCAGCGGTCACCTTTTTTTAAAAAGAAATGTTCGACATTTGTCTAAATCTGCATCTAAAAAAAACACCTTTACAATTTTAAGGGTTCAAAAATAAAATAATGTGCACACTTCACCACCAGATGTCACTAAATTCTACACACTGGACCCTTTAAAATCAAAACAAAGCCAAACTCGATACCGACAGAAAAGAAAAACGTTCTTGCTTTTAGTTTTTAAGTTTTGTCGTACTTCTTCACTCCGTCTGCTGTGATTTCCCACGATTTCGTAAATTTCCCGCTGACCCCTTTCACACCGGTCGTCCTCTGAAGCCTCCGTCAGCCGCCCACACGCCATCATCATCTCTACGCCTCCCTTCATTTAGAACTCTGGAGGATGTATGGGCTCAACGAGGGATGGTTTGTGTTGGTGTGTGCGAGTAGCGGGTCAGCGGCGGGTGAGGAGTGGGCGGGCGCTGCAGTTAACGACGGACATATCGATTGATCTGGTTTTGAACCTCTCGATGCAGAGGTGGACGTCTCGCTTGGTTTTTTTCACTCTCTTGTGTCGACCAGCACTTTGTTTACAGCCTGGTTGTACAGCAGCAACAAACAGGGTGAACTCTTTTGTACAGCGGCCTCGTCGTGCACAGGACGATTGTAATTTCCTCTGATCATTTTGTCTTTTCGTTTGACGCGTGTCCTCTGATGTGAGATCGGGGGAGCACGCTGTGTGTTGTTCGGTGTCTTCAGGGCGTCGCCATTGACACGCCGGTGACGCCGCACGAGGAAAGAAAGTTAAAAAGTGTTTCAGTAAACTGCACCAAATACAACGTTATAAATAAACACACACACTTGTTCTTTCAAAAACTTTTCTTCTCTTTTTGATTTCGTTCTGCTCGTTTTTCATCCATGAGCAAAGTTTCACCTCCTTATAACGTTTTTTCTCTCAAACATATTATTTTTGAACGAGTCATTTTAGTTTATTGTGATTTCATTCGACATCTCGTGACGTTTTCACACCTGAGAGTCTGAACCGGCCTCGTGTCTTTGTTCCATAGATTCTTTTTAATCTGGTCAGTTTTGGTTTCACGTTGTAATTTAGGGACCGAAACGTTCTTCTCTACCAAACTAGATGTGAAAGAGTCACAAGACACAAGGTTTGATGAGATTAAGAACACACATCGATCCCGCACATGAATTTTAAAAAGGCGTTTGAGCCACAACAGTGTTCTGCAGCTGCAGCTGGTGAAGCTCAGCCGCTGCTGTTGCTATGAGACTACGTCGAGAGCCCTTTTGAAGTTGGGCGCTCCGTTGCTGAAAGTTGAAATATTTTTAGCTCCCGGCGCAGCGAGCTCGGAAAAAAACATGATTTCTCAGCAATTGAGGTTGAAGTGTTTTTGTCTTCCAGCTCGTTTTCACCCAATGTAACTCGGAGATAAAGGAAATTCTATAAAAAATAAAAGATTCATGAATCATTTTTTTTTGCATCTCTTGAGGCAGCATGTCAGTTTTAATATTCCTTGTTTTAAACGATGTCTTTATTAATCATTGATAATGTTTTATAGTTCTATAATAAGACATTTAAGTGTTTTTAGGTTCTCAGGTTGAGTACATGTCTGGTGGTTATCATCTATCATGTCAGTTAAATACAACAATAATGATTGCACTACCTACCTGGCAACCCAGAACATCATTAATGTGAAATTATTGATCTGTAAAGTGTTTTTTTAATAAGCCATTAATTACTACAAACCCCTTATAAGCAATACAAACATTCAATGAATGCTTTACAACACTCCAGTGTATTGTAATGTATTGATTAATGCTGAGTATTTGTGTAAAGTTATAATAATAATTTGACGTTAAGACATTTTATCCGTTATTTGTTCATCAGCCGCCGATTAAAATACTGTTTTAACACATTTAAAAATGTGTTTACTTGTGATTCAACGTCTCTGTTTACAGCGTCTCCACTGACTCAGTGAATTTAAAGAAAAGGTTGGAAGCTTAAAGATAAAGTTTCACGAGAGCAGACGGACGCTCATTGTGACGTCTTCGTGTTAAACTGTGATCCACTGTGACACTGACTTTAAGGACCAGTTCACCAAAAACAAACTTTTGCTCTCACACATTAACGTACGAGTCATTTATGAGCCTGACAGATGTTTGGAGACATCGGCCTGATGTCTGGATTCAATCTGTGATGCTCAAAACACTGAAATATGTTAAATAAGTGATTCCACCATAAAAAACACTGACAGTTTTCACTCCACAACTTTTTACAAGAAAAATACTCACAGATATTTTCTATAGAAGCAGTTATTGAAACTGAACAACCAGAAACAAGAAATCCATAGATATAAGATAGAAACACATTTAAAGATCAGGTCTTTAAACACTTATTATTATAAATAAAGTCGTCAGAAAAAAAAAATCCAAACTCACCACAACTATTTAAACCAGTGTTAACGTCTGTCTCAATAAACCTGATTTAAGTCTTATACCTTCATGAGTAAGACACTTTATATGATGCAATAGATTATGGGGCTGATATATGGGGCTATAATCTTATATTGTTTGTATTTGTGTGATTTTACCGTTAAATTAAAAGCAAATGCTGTAAAAGTCTGTAATGCACCAAAGGAATCAAAGGATAAAGCTGATTTTGTTTGTGCAACTTTAAACAAACTGAAAGTTTAAAGGTTGATGTTCGACCTCCCGCCACAACCTCTTCATCCTTTGAGTCGCCACATCTGTAAACCTCTGTTACGGTTGTTTTATAAATTTAGAAACTGTCCTGTTGGAATTTTTTACAGAATCTTAATGATGAAGAAGAAGAGGAAGAAGAAAGGGGAGAGGAGGTAGAACGGGGGGTTTGTCATTTCTGTGCCTGTGTGTTTGTAAAGCTGTCAACTTCCTGTGGTAGTTTCCTGCTCACGTCGGGTCCGACGACTCGAGCAGCTGTTTTTGACGAACTATTAAATCAAACTGCTCCGGATCTGAAACGGCTCCAGTCGTCTTTATTTTGCATTCAACCTGTTTTAACGACTCCGGGTTTGTTTCCATCTTCATCTTATTTCACCTGAAACCTAAACAGAGAAACATTTTGACATTGACTGTTTAAGACACAAACAGAAAACCTCTGAAATGTTCCTGTTTTAAAAGAAATGAAGATTCCGTGTCTTCGTTTACTGAAGTCCTTTATTTCACAGTCTTTCTTTCCCCCCTCAGATCTTCTTCTCTCCTCAAATATTTATTGATAGAGCGTCAGGGAGGCAATTAACGCTCTGCAGGGACCAACTGCAGAAAAACTCCTCGGCTCCTCGCAGCAGCTGCTAATGATGACCTCACTCATCGGGGGCTGCACCGCCGCAACACAACCAGCTCCGCTCACTCTTAATTATCACTTCTTTGCTTTAATGATCGCACAAAGCTTTCTGCGAGAGGATCAATGATGTACAAGTACATAAAAACCTTTATTATAAAACATAAAAACAAAACCTGTTCTTGTTCACGGAGGAGTACGACCACAGGGCGGTTAATCTAGTTTTTAATCATTTTTCCGAACATTCGAACCAAACACCTGGACGTTCAGCTCCTCGTTTCATCGGAGAAGATGCAGGAACCATTCTCTGGTGTCACTGTATTATGGGAGCGCTCTCGGGGATGTATCGTGGATTCTCGCCATCAGCTTCGAGGACTGTCATCCGTTTCAGCCCGGGAGCAGATGAGACTCTTTCCTCATGCTGGAAAAAAAAAAGAAGAGAAAGTTATGGTTCCTATTTGTAGGAGGCAGCGTTGGGTGACAGTGTGCAACGGTGTGAATAAAAGCAATATCAATTTTTCAGAGAACACTCCCAGAGTATGTTGGGAAACTGGAAATGTGACGGGATTAGAGGAAGGTCTGTTACCCAGCATGCACAGAGAGGGCGAGGTTCACGCAGACAGAGCCGCACAGTGTGAACGCGTTTCTGACTTTCTTACACAAAGTGTAGAAAAGCCAGGGAGGGGCTGTCATTTCAGCTTTTAGGGAGACGGATCACGGGAAACACTGGAGCCGTGCTGTAAATGGGATGTTGCTCATGTGTGAAATACACAGCTCTGTGCACGTGCAGCCTCCGGTTACATGGCGTCCTGAGCCCGAGCTCAACCGAGAACGTCAGAAAGGCTCGTTTGAGATTCCGCTCCGTGTTGAAGTGACGGCATCACATTAATCCTGCGGATGTCAGCTGCGTGTTCACGCTGCCAATCTGCCGAGGTGTCGTCGTGGGTTCAACCGGAAACGGCAGGAAGCCGCCTGAACGTCGATTTGACTCCGAGCGGAAATTTAGTGAAGACGTAGATAAACGTCGCTAATGCGGCAGCTGAGAAGGTTTTCACATATATCAGTAATCATCACAATTTCAAATTCAGTCCAGCATGTGTCGATATGTTGTTTATATATTTCTCCTATATTACTGATTATTAATTATATAACATTAGGAGACGAACCCAGTGATTCTGACTGACGTCACCAGAGCAACATGGTATAGCACCACTTTCTGGGACATTCACGTTCGCCCATCTTGTTTCCACATTTCATACGTTTTCATTTATTTCTTCAATGTTAGATTTGGTTAATTACATGACGTCCCCACGTGTTGAGCTATCGTTCCCCGCTGCCGCTCGGTTTGACCCCGCGACGATCGGACAAATTGAAATACGACAGCGTCAGAAAACGAGCCCGCACTTAGCAGGAGAATTCAGCGAGCGGACGAGCGGCAGAATCAATTCTGTTGCTCGTGATCATTCCTCTGGAGTGCAGGTGATGACAGGTTAATTAGTGTGTGTGTGTGTGTCCTGTAACTGATGGCTGCTGGGTTTCCAGGGAGGGAAAATACCTCATTTGCATTTTGACAGCGTCCGACACGCAGGGGAACAGAACCAATCAATCCACACATGAAATTCAGGAGTTAATCTTTTTTCTTTTCGCCGTGTGCCTGAAAGAGTCACTATTAATACATTCTGTAAAGAACTGGAACTTTGAATTTGATTTTAAATCCTGAGTGTGAAATGATTTAAGAAAAGATTCAGAATTATTTATTTACTTTAAACACGCCTCTTGTCGCCAGCGTAGTCCCTGGAACATAAAGTCGACCAGAGCTGATAATGATAATGTCGCAGCTAAAGTCCGTAAAGATTTGATTCAAGTTAAAACCATTAATAAGATAAGAAACTTGATCCTGTGTTACGTGACGTTCACCACAAGCCAGAGGAAAAGTAGAAACTTCATCATCTTCTCAACGTTCACTCTTAAAATCCAGATTATTCTAAATATCAATGATCCTCTTTGAATCTGTGTTGAGCTGATTGAAGTTAAATCATCTTCGTCTGGGTTCACTCGGCCTCCAGCTCAGGAAATGACTTCACCGACTGCTCATTTCTCCGTCCAGCACGTCCACCGAGGAGACACGCGGCCTCGTTCCTGGCACGGCACGTCTCGCTCTGACGCCGTGACCTTTGCCCCCGAGCGGCCCAGAAACAGATCCTGAATCAGTTTCCCGCCGCTCTGACATCTGCTGTGAGGAACGAGTGTGAGAAGTACGTGAAACACGAGGAGTAGAGCTTTTAACTGAAATAAAAGAAACCTGCTGCCGTGTGTTTGTCTCATTGTCTTCACAGAGGACGCCCCCGAGGTGATGGGGGGGGGGGGGACACAAACAACAGATGCTCCGGTTTATCAACGGCGAACACTCGGCTCCTCGTGCTTTTCTTTTAACTTAGGTATTGTTCCCTTACAGCGCCGCTTCCTTCCTCCTCGAGTGGCAGCCCCCCCCCCCCCCCCCTGGAAATCCCCCCCTGACGTTGACATCACCCCGATTCCCTCGTGCGATTACACTTCAAGGACTTAATCACTCCGCTTGAC